CCTCCCCGAGACCCCTCTGCAAGGGGGTCTCTAGTGGCCTACAAATGGGCTTTGGGTCTCCACTCTGCACTCGCCCCATCATTCACTATGGTAAGACTTTTTGGTTTCTCCAGATTTTTTTGTTTGGACTGAGACCTATCTGGTGGCTTCTCTCATGATTTGGAGTTTGCTTTAGCGTGGTGAGGCAGGGCACCCGCTGCATCTTGACCTTGGATTAAATAGGGGTATTTGCCTGAGAAACCAAAAGCTGATGTTTCCTCCCCAGGGCCCTTAAATTTTTCTGACCACTGTCCCCTCTGGGAACCCAACCAAAAACTGCATTCTCTCCTCAGAAAGCAGCACATATGGGCATTCAGTCAAAGTTACCGTTAGTTTCCACGATGGCATAGTGTGTTACACTTTGGGTTACTACTAACCACGAGGTCAGCAGTTGGAAACCACCGGCCCCTCCATGAGAGAATGATGAAACTTTCTACTTCCATACATATTTATAATCTCAGAAGCCCACAATGGCCGTTAGGCTCTGTCCTACAGCATCACTATGAGTTGGAATCAACTTGATGGCAGTGAGTTGCTGAATTTTAACCTCTGACAATCAAAAAGAATAACTTCCTGTTATAGCATTCAGGCCCCACCCACCAGGGGCACAGAATGAATATGATAGGTTAGTGGGTGTTTCTACCACGGCAGAGGCCTGAGTTCCTTTTTAGCCTGACGCTCGGCTGTCTCGGGAGTCCCAGGGTGCTCTGTAAAGTAGCATGTTTCCCAGAGACTGGGAGTGCTTTCCGGCTCTGCAGCTGCTGTTCTGTCTTCTCCTGGAGACCAGCATTCAAGGTACTTTTCACAAATTGTCCTCTTGGGGGTGGGGGTGGGGCACTGAAGGAATAGTCAGGTGGAAAGGGGAGACGTGATATGGCCTACTCGATGCAGCATCTCATCTCTAGGCAGCAGATACTTCCATCTCCGTGACAAGACTTGTGTTGAACCAAAGGAGCCTGCCTAGGCGTCAGAATTGGGCTTCATCTTCTTTGCTGGGGAGATGTGACAAAACGCATGACTGCCGGGGAGAAGGGGAAGTAGGTCTCTTATATGTAGTCTCGAGTGCTGTTTTGTGAAATTATGGGTACTTTTGTCTCCATTTTATGCCAAGAGGAAACTCCCCACTGATGGCTGCCACATCACGTGTGCTTAGGTATGCTCTGCTCTCTCAGACATTGGAGACTTTCTCCTCTACCTAAGCGATGGGATGTGTCCTGAGTTGAGGTAAATAATGTCATTGCCCCAAAGACAGATCAAAACTGCAAGGAAGAAAATTGCTCTCTTTAGCCATAGGCTTCTGAATGAGGAGCCGAGGTGCCTTGAAAGAAACCCAAATATCAGATAGTTATGCGTTAGAGTCTCCTCCTCTCATAAGGTTCTTTCCTGGCTCCCCTCGTGTGCCTAGGGGCTGGGCTAACTTTTCCTTTCTCTGTTACAGCAACTCAACGCTGTTTCTCTACCCAGTGCCTGTCTTCCCCGGCCAGCTGAGAAGCAAGAATGAAGTTTTTGCTTTTCTCACTAAACCCTGAAATGAAAAGCAAAACAAACAAACAAACAAAAGAAACAGTTGTCCTTGACTCACACTGACCTCCCAAAGTGTCAGGGCAGAAATGTGCTCTGAAAAATAAGGTTTTCAGAGGCTGCTGTTTTGGGAAGTAAATCACCAGGCCTTTTCTTCCCAGGCATTGCAAGGGGCACTCGAAGCTCCAAGCAAGTGTTTTGTTAGTCGCTGAGTGTGTTAACTGTTTGTACCCTCCAGGGACCCCTCCAGAGATATGTGAAGACATTTTTTATTTAAAGGGGTTTAATACTAACCAATCCTCAACTGATAAGATTGGCACAGGACTGGGCAGTGTTTTATTCTACTGTTCATGGAGTTTCCCCGAGTGGAAAGCCAATTCCGTGACAACTGACAACAGTGGTCACTACTACAAGGGGCTATACAGAGTCAAAGATGAGCAAACAGGAATATTGTACATCATCATAGCACCGTGATTAGATAGAACCCTTAGGGAAAGAGGCCTGGTAGCCTAATGAGTTAAATGTTGGGCTACTAACCATAACATCAGCAGTTCAAGCCCACAAGTTGCTCGTGGGCGAAAGATGAAGCTGCTCCTTCTTGTGAAAGTTGACTGTGGCAGAAACCCTAAGGGGTGGTTCTGCCTTGTCCTGTAAGGTTGCTCTAAGTCAGAATCAACTCAAGGGCGTAGGCATGGTTTTGGTTTTTAACTTTTATGGAGATGAGCGTGTGATGCTTGGAGGATGCCAGCTGGCCACTCAGGCAAGAACTCAGTGGGTGGCCTTACTTAAGGTCTGGCTCATGACTGTGGATTTAGGGCTATCAGGACATCTAAACTGCAACTAGTGAGGTGGCTAGCCAAGTCTTCATGTTTCAATTGATAACATTATCTCTCAAAAAGATTGAAGCATTCTCCTAAGGGTGCTTGGGTCTTACTCCCAAACTGTGCTAATGTGATTATGCCCTTTTTTTTTTCTTGCCTTTAAAAAAATAACAACTTTTTATTGTGAATTAGGTGAAAGTTTATGGTGCAGATCATCAATTTCGCATTCAAAATTCATACATGCTTTTTTTCAACTCACCTGTTTCGATAATGGCCAGCTTCCTCCTCGTGGTTGCTGTTTCCAGTCCTCCTTCTTTCCTAGCCCTCGACCTTGTCCTTCAGTGAATGTTTCTCTTTTGATCCTAAGGGGTTGATTATTCTACAATGGGGGTGAGTTCAGTTCCAAACCTGAATAGGGGCCACAGTACTGGGGCCCCCACCTCTCTCTATGTGGCCTGTAAGCTTTGGTCTCTTCTGTGATTTTGACATTTGTTCCACATATTTCACCTGCTCTATGGTCTTCTAATGTGAGCTCTGTCAGAGCAGTTGGCAGTGGTAGCTGGACACCATTGAGTTCTAGTCTCAGGATTGTGGAGGGTGATATTTGCACGACCCATTAGTTCATTAGACTAATTGTTTCAATATCTAATAATCATGCTTTCTTGAGATTAAATCCCAGGAAATGCCAAACCAAACTCAATGCTGAGAGCCGATTCCGACTCCCTATGGTACAAGATAGAACTGCCTCTGAGGGTTCCCCAGACTGTACCCCTTCCTTCTCCCATGGAATGACTGGTGGGTTCAAATTGCTGACCTTGCAGTTAGCAGCCAACACATAACCACTACACCACCAGGACTCCTGTCCAGAGAAACTAGATTGAGGTTGATGTATTTAATCTCTTCAAGTATGAATTATATCTACAGCTTGTCACTATTTTACCCCATTGACCACATCTCAAGGAGCCCTGGCATCACAGTGGTTAAAGAGCTTGATTGCTAACCAAACAGTTAACTGTTTGACCCTACCAATCACTCCATGGTGAAAAGATAGGGCAGTCTACTTCTGTAACAATTTACAAATTTGGAGATTCTAAGGGGGAATTTATATTCTGGAAGCCATTCCTGAACTCAAGTAATAGTCTCGCTCTACTGTACCCCTTTCCATTTCTTATTTTCCTCATTATAACCCCTAGCACCAATAGTGTAATTGTCTGATTAACTGTCTATACCCACTGAACTAGAAGCTCCCTACGAAGAGAAACTCTATTTATCTTGTTCATCAATGTACGTATGGCCTAACACATATGAAGTGCTTATTAAACATTTATTAAATGGATTAATAACTAAACAAATTGATGTATGTATGTATGGATGGATGGATGGATGGATGGATGGATGGAAGAAGAGAACTATGAGACATGATTTCAGCCATGCTGGGTCACAAAGCACTCCGATTGGTCCCATTGAATTCTTTCTCCAATTTCCCACAGTGGCTATTTCAAACCCTCAACCTTATCTTCATGGACCCTTACCTAAGTCTTCTACCCTCTATACAAAGAACTTGTCTCCTACTTCAAGGAAAATCTGAGGACTAGAGGTCATTGGGCAAGAAGTCCTGGATTTCATCTGCCAACTAGAAAGTTCTCTATGTTGCCCAGGGCCCTTTCTACCTTTTCTTCCCCAGATGCTGAGGTAGCCTTCTTTCCAGCCAAGACCCATGACTTCACCTCTGTCCTGAGTCCCTACAGTCATTCCCATTCCCTTTCATGTTTCCAATTTCTTTCCTATCCACTGACTCCCTTCCCGCAGTTTATCAATAGCATAAGTTTTTTCTTAAATAAAAACTAAAAACAAAACAAAATCTCCATCTCTCATGCTCCTTTGTCTATCACCCTACTGTTCTCCTCCCCACTCACACTTAAATTTACTAAACTAAACATTTTATTACCTTCCAATTTTTGTTTTCCATAACATTCTTGCCTTCTTGTGGTCTGGTCCCTCTGTGCTTCCCATTTCAGGGAATGCTTCCCTGTTCATCTTGTCACCCACGACAAAAGTCTGGGGTCTTTCTCGGTATTGCCAACCTGCTTCCTAAGAGGGCCTGCACATACGTCTAAAACAGTTGATTCCCTCAGTGAGTTTCAGATCACTGTACAGCAATATCTCTAAAACATTTCTTTTTCCTTTGCGAGGAGTTTTTCTGGAAATTCTATGACTCAGTTTCAGGGTGTCAGAATTTCCTCCCTGCAATCCTGGGTCCGTCCTGGGTGCACCCTTTGGTGTGACATCATAACTTTCTCTGGTGCTGATGCGCATGCTTTCCCTTTTGAGTTCTGCTTTTCTGCATTAACAAAAAGCATGGGTGGGTACCAGCAGGATATTATTTTCAGTGATACAGATATAGTTCTTTTTTTTAATCTTAAGCATCTAGGCATATTACCAACTACCCCTTAATGTGGGATTCTTTCAAAATAGTAGCTTTCTTTCCCTACCTTCTAAAAACGCAATTGTTAGGAACTGCGAAAATGGCAGGGGGGCTGATTTTGTCCCCTCTAGGCTGCAGTTTAACATCCCTTTCAACAATTACAAGTAAAAACAACAGGCGAAACCACCCCCAAATCAAAATATTCACTTCCTATGCCCCTTCCTCTGTTCTTTTAGAAAACTCCATGCTTCCAAGAGTCTAGAGCCATAGCAACAAATCCCACTCCTGATGCCACCCCTGAACACAGCCTCGAGCTCCATTTGGCCTCTTGTGGCTACACAAAAGGAAAAGCAAATCCGTCTCCATACTGGCCCAAGGCCGATTGCCATCAGGTAGAGAAAGGTCAGATAGACCACCACTCTCCATCTTTTTTTACCCTATTCTTACACCCACTGTTCCTCCCAGAACACTCTACTACTCTGCTGGATTGAATAACCTATTGCGATGGCCACACAGGGCTTAGACAATATTCACAATTATAGGGGGTTAATTAGGAAGTTAACAGTTCAGGATCATCAATTATTAAGAATGTAGTCTTTAGTCCACATTAACACCTCTCCTCAACTCAAACCCAGTCACTGGTCCTCAGCCTCTCAGACATAAGGTCCTTTGGCTTCTGCCTCCATAGGCCAGGAAACTTGCTCACAGCTCTGCCCTTAGACTCCTAAACTCTGCCCCTCTGCTGTGTCTCACAGTCTCTTTGCCTCCACCTCTGGTCTTAGTGGGGCATGGCCTCTTCTTCCTCCACCACTTCAGGCAGGGATTTCAAATGTGCTCCACTGGTGGCTCTTCTTCCTCAATGGCTCCAGAATTCTCTCTTCCTCCTCTTGAGATGCTGTCTGATACACAGGATAATGCCCACTCAAACTGACCAATCCCCTATTCACATGGTCCCCCGCAGGCATCTGGTGAAAGTTACAGAGACAGGGATAGAAGAGCCATATTAAGAAAGTTCCCTTCACCATAGG